CTCCAGGCTGTGAAGCGCCTCCTGCCGGACTGCTGCCTTGCCGGTGCCTTTTGGAGCTGGCCGCTCGTCCTGTCTCCTGCCTCTCGCCTCCCGTCTAAACGTTGCCCCCTAGGTTTCGGATCGTAGCTCGGCTCCCCGGCGGCCCTTCGGGACGAGCCGGGCACCCCCGGAGCGCTCCCGGCGAGGCGCAGCTGCTGGACAGCGCCCCGGGGCCAGAAAGTCGCTGCGGACCACGGAAAAGCGCCCGAAAGCGTCGAAACTCGAACGCGAAGCTTCGCCTCTCCCCTCCCCTCCCCCCCCTACGCGCATCCCTCCGCAACGCTACCCCTGCCCCTCGAGGCCGCGTCTCCCCGCCGCCGACGACGGGACAGCGCCCGCGCGACGCCGAAGCCCTGGCGCCGCGACGCGGGGCGGTCCCCCCTCGGCCCACCTGGCCGTCCGAGGCCGCTCGGCGCTCCCGTGGAGGGGCGCCGCCGTGCTGCGAAGGGGGCGTCCCGAAGAGCGCCCCGGGCTTGCCCCAGAGGCCCGGGGGTCGTTCGGTGCCCGCTGTGCGTCGCCACGTCCTTCCTCCTCCTCCTCCTCCTCCTCCTCCTCCTCCTCCTCCTCCTCCTCCTCCTCCTCCTCCTCCTCCTCCTCCTCCTTTCTCCTCCTCCTCCTGCTCCTCCTCCTCCTCCTCCTCCTCCTCCTCGCCCCCAAAAGGAGTGCCCCCCAAGACGGCCTCCTGGCGGGCCCGCGGCAGCTCCGAGGCTGCTCCAGGGCAGCCCAAGAGGGCTCCCAGGATGGCCTCCGAGTCGTCCCCAAGATCCCACCAGTGTCTCCCGAGGTGGCTAGGTCCCAGTTCGGCCCCGAGCGTCCCAAAGGTGACCACCAGCGGCCCAAAGGTACGGCCGGACCTAGGATAGAGGAACATCCTTCAAGAACATGAAATCGTCCGCTGGCCAAACTGAAGAACATTCGAGGATACCCTCCCCAAGGATGCACAAGAGCACCCCACGAGCACGGAGAACATTAAGGTACCCTACCCGAACCGACCTCGATCTTGTACCTCAGTCCGACCGTGGTCCGAATCCTGGATGGTCCGCCAAAGGCCCAAGAAAGCTCCGAGGTGGTCCTACGTTGCTGGAATGGCTCAGCCTGGGGGCCGGCGGCAGAGAGCGCAGCCCTGCCAGATACTCGTCGTGCTCATCGACGTAGAGCAGCGAGTTCGAGTACGGGACGCCGAGGAAGAGCCACGCCAGGCCCTGGAACTTCCTGGACCCGTCGGCATTGGCGCCGACCTTGTCGTGGAAGAGCAGGCGCATGTAGGAGCGCATCGGCGCGATGCCGGTGCCTGTCGCGAGCATGATGATGTTGCAGTCCTGCTCGACCGGCAGGAGCATCTCGGCTCCGGTCGGGCCCGTGATGAGCACCTCGTCGCCCTCGCTCATGTCGCAGATGTGGTTCGAGCACACGCCGCGGTAGACCTTGGCGGCGGGGAAGCAGGTGCCAGCCTTGTCAGGCTTGTCCTCGCCGACCTCGCGGTTGAAGTGCTTGAGGGGCCACTTCTCCTCCTCCACCTCGACGACGCGCTTGACGCACAGGGAGACCGTCTTGGAGTCCTGGCAGTCGCCGACCGCCGACGAGCCGATCGAGTAGAGGCGGATCTTGGCTGGGGTCTCGCCCTTCTTGTCGGGGCCAGGGGCGATGACGCCGATGGACTGTCCCTCGACGTACGGCACCTTGCCGCCGTGGTCGAAGGTCACGTGCGTCGTCTCCCAGTTGGCGTCTCCGGGGGCGTCGCTGTTGGGCTTGGTGATGGTGTGCGCCTGCACGTCGTTCTTCACCACCTTGCCCTGGTACGGCGCCTTCGGCATGAACAGGTTCCACGGGATCTCCTTGCCGCCCAGCTGCGACACGACCTTGACGCCCTTCTTCTTCACCGCGGCCGCGCGGCGCGTGACGACGGAGGAGCCCACGGCGATGGCCGCCGCGCCGAGCCCCACGGTGGCCGGGATGCCCGCGAAGGAGCCCGCCGCCGCAGCAGCGGGCCGGCCGGCCCGCAGGAGGCGCGGCGCGGCCTCGGGCGCCACGGCGGGGGGGGCGGCAGCAAAAGCCAGCGACATCGTCCGCTGGGATGCGGAGGGGGACCAGAAAAACAAAAACGGCACCACCTCGCCTAGGCCGACCAGCCCTAACTGGGGGAGCTGTGGTCCTTACCCCCCTGGGGGAACCCATCGCATCGACGATCTCCCGAGAGGGATGTCGAAATCGATGGGTCCCCCAGGGGGTAAGGACCACAGCTCCCCCAGTTGTGGCTGGCCTGCTACGGCGCCACGGGCCACAGCATATTCCATGAATTCTGGCTCGGGCTTCTGCGTGGTTTTCAGGCTGCGGCCCCCGAGAGGCACGCGCGCGCGCCAGCATGGCGCGCCGCGGACGGGGTGGTGCCGCTCGGTTTCTGGTCGAGGAGAGGGGCTCGGGGTGTCGCGGGGTCACGGGGCGTGCCCGGGCCGAAACGGCTCGGGGTCCAGGCGGCCGTGGCGGAGGCGAGAGAGGGAGCGGGGCAGCCAGATGGAGAGGGAGAGAGAGCGAGAGAGATGGCGTGTTGCGCTTGTCCATGTGTGTGTTCGTGGTGCCCCGATTTGGAGAGGTTGTGATCTCCGTGCGGCATCGCGCTGCCGACGCTCATGCGAGAAGTGCTGAGCAGGCAGCGAGCCTCATCGTGCACGTGGAGCCAAAGCCTCTAGAGCAGCAGGCGCAGCAGCAGCAGCCCTGCACTGACGCTGCACTCAAGATCAACCCAACCAGATCGTCGAGTTCCACCTGGTGTTGAAGGAAGCGGGGCACCACTTGCAGCTGGTCTGAAAAGCCTGCTCGGAGGAAGTTCGTGAAGATATCGTAGAGCACTGTGAAAACACTCGAATCGCTCTCGCGGATTCATCCGGGCGACCCAGAGACCCTAGCAAGGTGAATTACTCGTAATGCATTTTCTCTGCGCGCAACTGAAACAACAGTAGAAGGGCTCCCTATACTACATCTTGTGTGCCAGAAGCCAACAATATTTCCCATGCCGCCGCCCTGTCCGATGGGTCCCTTGCTAAGTTGCCCGATATCCCCCAATGGCCCATGGGACCTCCTCGAGAATCCTCGGAGTGGGTTGCCTGGGTCCCCTGGGATGGGTCCCTGTGCTGTATACTGACGTGATGTGCGACAACATGCTACGCTTTACCCTGCAAGGTAACCTTGCGCTACGCTGTGCCATGCTGTCCCAAGCTACGGCATGCCATACTATGTTACGGTCGCCCGGGTACCTGGCTAGGGTTCCCAGGTTACCCTGGTTTCGTGGGTTCCCTGGCATATTCCTCGGATTTCTCCGGTCCCTGGCAATGATTTGCGTCGCATTGCACGGCATTCAATACAATGCTTGGGCTTTGCTGCATATTGCTCCCCTGGGCTCCGCACTCCACCCCAATGCGTCACCAAAAAAAAATGACACCGAATGTGTTTAGGACTATAGGGCTGAAGAGCTGTAGGGCTATACGGCTATCGGGCTATAGGGCTACAGGGCTAAGGGCCTATAGGGCTGTAGGGCTATAGGGCTATAGGGCTATAGGGCTATAGGGCTATAGGGCTATAGGGCTATAGGGCTATAGGGCCATCGGGCTATCGGGCTACAGGGCTGTAGGGCTGTAGGGTTATAGGGTTATAGGGCTATAGGGTTATAGGGCTATAGGGCTACAGGGCTATATGGGCTACAGGGCTACAGGGCTATAGGGCTCTAGGGCTCTAGGGCTCTAGGGCTCTAGGGCTGTAGGGCTATAGGGCTATTGGGCTATTGGGCTATAGGGCTATATGGCTATAGGGCTATAGGGCTATAGGGCTATGGGGCTATGGGGCTATAGGGCTGTAGGTCGATAGAGCCCACGGGCACCCGGGCACCCCCCGGCACCTCTGGGCACCCCCGGGTACCTCCGGCACCGCCAGGCACCCGGTCATCCGGGCACCCGGGCACCCCTGGGCACCCCTGGGCACCCGGGCACCCGGGCCCGCCACCGAAATCGGCGACGCACCTCGCCTAACCATATGAATCCGCTAGGACCCCTACAGAGGCAAGCTCTGATTGGGGAATGAATCCGCCAGGACCCCTACATAGGCAAGCTCTGATTGGGGAACATGTATTCCTGTGAAATTGCAATGCTTTGTATCCAATTGCTTGCACGGCTCTGCAGTGCAATGCATGGCGTTGCATCGCCAGGAATGCCTGCGCTTGGCATGGTGTACAACGGAATGCCATGCCAATACGACTGCCGACCTGAATGTTTGTTGCCATACTACGCTGTGGCGCGGATTCCCATGGAGGGCCATGCAGGGCTACCTTTTTGCGCAGCCCCCTCCATTGGCTGGAAGGGGCCAGCATGTGACAGCTCGGCCCTGCCTGGCTCGACGGGGGCTGACACGTGACGGCTCTCCCTGCCGTGGCCCAAAGGGGCTCACATCTGACACGGCTGTCCCCGTTGGCCCGGAAAGCGATGCCCAAAAAGGAATGCCACTCTCCCTCTCTCTCTCTCTCTATCTCTCTCTCCATCTCACGCTCTCTCGCGCGCTCTCTCTCTCTCTCTCTCTCTCGTTCTCTCTCTCTCTCTCTCTCTCTCTCTCTCTCTCTATATATATATATACATCTATATATATATCTACATATATATAATATCTCTCTCTCCCTCTCTTTGTCTCTCTCTATATATATGTACAAATATATACATTTCTCTCTCTCTCTATCTTTCTCTTGCTCTCTCTCTCTCTCCCCTTTGGCCAAGCAAAGGGCTACATGTCACAGCCCTTCATGACGTGGCAGAGAAGAGGGGTAACATACATGTGAAAGGTCTCGATCAGCCTGTTCTGAAATGGGGTAACATGTGACAACGTCCTCCCCGTTGGCCCAGCTGCACAAATTGCACACGCCCGACCATGCACGCGAGCATACAATAAACATCCATGTCAGGGACTTGCCTGATATAGCCGTATCTTGTATGGCCACCTTTTGCCTTTCCAAGGCAAGTGTGCGTTAGACCACACAAAAAGTGAGGCACACACTTGTCGCTGGATGGGCTGGAGGGGACACGTGAAAAGTTTACAATCATTATCGCAACATTACCATCAGTATAACGGTGGTCATCGTCACGGCCATCGTTTTCGTCGTCGCCGTCGTCGTCGTAGCCGTTATCCTCCACCACGCTTGCGGCGCGGTATGCGTGGATCAAAGCAAGAAAAAGGCTTGCTCCTGGCAACGAGCGAAGAAACAACAAGGCACACACGAAACGGGTGCCAGAAAACCCTTAGGATCTCACGATAGGACCTGGGTGGGCCTCAAGACGGCCCAAAACGTGCTCAGACGATCCCCGCATGGCGAAAGATGGGTCTACTCGGGGCGTCACCAAGGCCCACCCGACGGCCCCAGCCTGTCTGGCGGCACTTCTGGCTCTGCTGCGCAAGCGTCCTCTGCTTCTGCGGTAGAGTGAACGGCGGCGGTAAATAGGGAGCCCACAAAGGACGTACGCGCCCAGCTATGTACATGAACACGGCCCTCGATTCGCGAGACCGGCCGCGTTATACGAACATGTGTGCAATGCGTGCTCTCGAAACCAGCGTGGATTCATGTACATGTACGTCCTTCTTTCGCTCCTGAGTAAAAGCGAAGCGACTCGAACAGAAGAAACATAGATCAACTCCTTCCCTCTACTTCTTTTGATGCTCCTGCTTGGAACCGTCCCCAGCAAGCACCAGCGAGATCCTTGGAACACCTCTCGGCGATCACGCAGCCGGACAGCCCGGCACCTACAATGAGCAAGTCAACCTCTGGGGCACGCCGCGTCATTATCCCTCGCCGTGCAGGGAGGACTCTCTTCAACGCCGCGTCACTAGCAACGCAATGGAGCGAAAGCAAAGAAGAAGTGGGATAAGAATAAGCGAAGTAAGGATCAGATAATGAAAACGCGAAAGATGAGACTCAGCATACAGTATACGTGTGCAGCGCGAGGCGAATAAACGCGTGACGAGGAAGACAAAAAGAATGCGAGCAAAAAAGGAATGGGTGAGCATGCTCAAATGGCGGCGAAGATCCGCATTCACAATGCGAACGAAGAAGAAAAGAGAATGAGAAGGAGAAGGACGAAAGGGAAGGTTGATGAAAAGGGGAGGGAGGAGGGAAGCTTGAGGAAGAAGAATGGATAAGGATAAAGCACGAACGAAAGAAAACACGAACGAGACAACAAAACCTGGGGAGAAGAGGGGATGAGGACACGAGGGGGAACGTGGAACGAAGAGCGAGAAAAGACCGAGAAAGGAAGATAGAGGAAATGGCAGGAAGGGAAGGAGAGGGGAACGGTCAAGGGGAAAGAGAACGAAGACCGTGACCAAGACTGAACGCGAAAACACCGGTGTCGTTTGTGGTCATCGTCCACTTTTGTCTTCGTCGATTCATGGATCGCCTTCGCGAAACGGCCTTGGCCAGCGCGGACCCTGATAAAATCGACGTCGACAAGATCCCGCGACATATTGGTCGTGGTCATCGCTGTCTTCCCCTCCAGAGAAGACGGAGGACGCAGTCCGGGCGGAGTCTCGGGAGGGCCCCGGCGGAGACACACGGACACCCGCAGGGTCCTCGAGAGATCCTGGCGGGGCCTTGGCCGGGCACCCCCCCCCCCTCCTTGTCCCTCCCTCGAGGGGCCACGTCGGGGGGGGACCTGCTCGGGGGGGGGACACTGAGCTTCATTCGGCGACACGTCGCCGACAGATCGGCGATGGGCCGCCGCTTGCGAATCCGCACGCTCCCGTGTGGGAGGGGCTCACGGGCCCCCATCGGCGTCGATTGGGCGAGGGGGGGACACATGCATCCCCCCCGGAGCACATCCCCCGCATCGTTGCCCCTCGCTCCTGCCAGCCCCGCAACCCATCCCCTCCCCCCGCTTCGGCCCCCTTGCCCCGCCCACCCTCCCTCGCATCGCCCCTCCTCCGCCCCCGCCCTCCTGTCCTTCCTCCTCCTCCTCCTCCTCCTCCTCCTCCTCCTCCTCCTCCTCCTCCTCCTCCGTCTCCTCCTCCTCCTCCTCCTCCTCCTCCTCCTCCTCCTCCTCCTCCTCCTCCTCCGTCTCCTCCTCCTGCGTCTCCTCCTCCTCCTCCTCTACAATGACAGCGTATGATTAATTACTACTCTCCTCTCTCCCCTGGTGACGTCCATGACGTCCAGGAAATACTCCCACTGGTGACGTCCGGGAAAATTTTCGGCCCCCTTCCGCCCCCCTCCGCGTACTGGTTTTTTGTTCGCCAACGATTCCCGGGAAACGGGTTTTCGCTTGGATGTGTATCAAGATGCTGCTCTCGGTGAAGCGTTGGCCTCAGTTTCGGATTACCGCTCGTTCCGAATCGTGTTCCCGCTACAGCGTTGTCCTCATTTCCGCGCTTCCGCTCGTTCCGAATCGTGCTCCTGCTGCAGTGCTGGCGTCATTATTTCCAGCGCCATGCCACGGC